TGACAAGGTGCGGTTGGCCTTCCTGACTGCATCCCCACATTGTCGGTCCATGTTCATTTTGGCATCAATAATGACTCCAAGATCCTTTTCTGCCTCTGTACTGATGAGAAGGGAGTCCCCCAGCCTGTAGGTATGCTGCTGGTTCTTCCTCCCCAGGTGCATCACCGTGCACTTGTCAGTGTTGAATCCCATCCTGTTCTCATCTGCCCACCCCTGTAACCTGTCTAGGTCCAATTGCAGCCTATTCCTCCCTTCTAGCGTGCCCACATCCCCCCACATCTTAGTGTCATCAGCAAATTTGAACAGGGTGCTTTTTGCCCCCTCGACCAAGTCACTGATGAAGATTTTGAACAGTGCGGGCCCGAGGACCAAGCCCTGCAGAACTCCACTGCCCACATCCCTCCAGGCTTAAAATGACCCATCCACCACCACTCTCTGGGTGCGGCCCTCTAGCCAACTAGTGACCCATTTGACTGTGTAGGTGTCGACTCCACAGTCTCCTAGTTTTTTAATGAGAAAAGGGTGAGAGACAGTGTTGAAGGCCTTCCTAAAGTCCAGAAAGACTATGTCCACTGCTACCCCTGCATCTAAGGATTTGGTGACCTGGTTGTAGAAGGCCACCAGGTTGGTCTGATAGGACCTGCCTCTAATAAACCCGTGCTGGTTGCCCCTAACCATAATCTCCCCTGCTGGCCCCTCGTGGACATGCGCCAGAATAATTCTCTCAAAAAGCTTACCCAGGATCGAGGTAAGACTAACTGGCCTATAATTTCCTGGGTCCTCCTTCCTTCTTTTTTTGAAAATGGGAACCACATTGGCCCTCTTCCAGTCCTCTGGTGCCACACCAGAGCACCACATGTGCTCATAAAGCCGTGACAGGGGTCCTGCAATGACCTCTGCTAATTCCCTCAGTACTCAAGGGTGGAGATCATCAGGACCTGCTGATTTAAATACATCCAGTCCCTCCAGAAGTTCCCTGAATAGATCCTCGCTGACCCTAGGCCTGGGTGCGCCTCCCTTGGGGCCTGCGGGGGTCCCAGTGGGGCGGGTGACCCAGTGTCTGCTCAGGAAAATGGAAGCAAAGAAATTGTTAGTAGATAACAATCAGTAGATAATTCCCTAGACACCAGCTTTACACTAGTGCAGCAAATACCAGAGAGTCAAGTTCTGCAGACCTTCTCAAACATGTTCAATTCCTCATATTCAAACTTAGGTTTGTTTGTTTTTAAATCTTTAGGGAATTTTGTCCTCTCACAGAGCTGACTACAAAAACTAGAAACCATCACACCATCTCCTAAACAAACACACCAAACATGGGTATAAGTCTATTTTCTTAATGTAAAACTGCATAATCAAGTTAATGCAGCTTTAAGCAGTAAAATTCACTGCACAACTATCAAACCAGCTATGATGGGACAGTGGAGAAAAGAACCTCTCTTATTGAAGCTTCTCAGTAACTTCATGAAATGTAAAGAAAATTCCCTTCTTTGAAATGGGCTTTCATAGGCTAATTTCCCAGTGAAGCAGCCAACTTAATCCATGCAAAAATTATTATGAATGCTGAAAGATTTTAAGGTATCCAGGTTGTAGCTGTATTGGTCTGGAGGAAAAGGCAATCAGGACTCATAGTAGAGATGATGTCTTCTATTAGACCAACACGATTTTTCTAAAAAAAATTCTTTAAAGAATTTTTTTTGCAAAAATCTACTGAGTCCTGATTGAAAGATTTTCAAAAATAAATAAGAAGGAAAGAAAACAAGCCCAAGTAGAAGATACCTCTACTCATTGTAGTCAGGCAAGACATAAGTAGCACATTAAAAATGTAGTTATTCCCTATCATATGATTTGTTAGAAACAATTTGCCCACTATGGTTTCTATAAGAGATAAGGATGACAATTGTACTTGATTAAAAAAAAGTACTAGGAAACACTGGAAAGTTTCTGAACACTTGTTTAACCAATTTAGTGAATTGCCTCTGGTGTATTAGTAAGAGCTGTAGATAAGATTGTCTACATGCTTTCATTCCAAGTTCTACTTTAGCGTTAGTCAGAGCTTCCAGGCTCAAATTTCACAGGCCTGATCTTTCTGCTGAAAGTATGGAAATACATATACCAAATTTGCCTGGATCCAAGACAGCTTTGAATTCAAGATAACCCCTAAGTAATTTGATTCTATACAAGGAAATTTATGAATTCATTATAATTTTCCATGTATAGAATCTAATTATTGGAGGGTTATCATAAAGTCACCTTCCCCCCACTGCTGTGGTAGCAGGGCAGGGGCCAGACCCCCCCTCCCCACCCCTTGCCCTCCTTGGGCACATCCAGATGTGTGTGGACATCTGGCTCCCCAGGGACAAGTAGCAGCAGTACACCTTGCGCTGCTGCTGCTTTTCCCTGGGGAACACCCATGCTATGTGCACTTTGGGGCATGGCAAGTTGCCCTGAGTGGTGTAGGTGCAGATGTGGCCAGCACTGTGCTGACCCCAGCAGCCTTAACTGGGGTTCTGAGGGCCTCCCGGAGCTACAGCCACAGTGATCCTACCAAGCAGAGCCTGGCTAGCAGCTGCAGCACAACTCTGAGCGTCTTGGCTCTACTTTTTAGCAGCGCAGGCTGCCTGAGCGTGCGCTGCTTCGGGTTTTTTTCTGCTTTTTTTTTGACCCCTAGATATTCAGGGTCAAAAAAATCTGTTGGGGGGGAAAAAAAGGAGCAGTGCATGCTTAGGTAGTATGCCCTTGCAGCGCAGAGAACTCCAAACTGTGCGGTATGTAGCACTGCAAATGTGTTTGCAGCACCACATACCACATGACTGTGCTTGTCTGGACATGGCCCTTGTGTATGCCCTTCCAATGCTGACTGGGAAAAAATCCTTGTCTTGTATTCCAATAAATATGGTACATCAATCAAATCAGTCAATCAATATACATGTTAGACTGAATTTAGTTGTTTTGAGTGTGAAGAGACCAAGAACACTTGATGTGCAGCAGAAGATTGCATGATATTTTACTCGGGGAGGAGAAAACATCCTGACTCTGGTCTGCCAACCTCTCAGTATTTGCACCAATAACCCAGTAACAAAGCGGACTTCATGCCAACCCAGCTCAGGAGGCATTCCTGCTAAAACTCTCATCCTTCCTTTAAAGGAGGAACACAAAGCAAAAGCATAACAGACAGCTCATCCCTCTCTTCCCACCCAGGGAGCTAGCAAATCTTCAAGGGACTACTTAAACAGGAAGATGATCCATGGTAAGTCCAGTATGTTCTGCAATACAAAGTACATGATATCCTAAAGTACAAGTGGACAGTACATTCATTAATGGCCTAAGTGTCTGTAAACAGCCAGAAATCCAGCAATCACGTCAAAAGAGGGGAAAATACAAGTGAAGTAAAAAAAAACCATTAAGTCCTTTGTTACTCTGAATCCTGTGTCCTCACCATAACAATAGCAACACTAATTCCAATATAGACATGCTAGTATTACATATACTTTAATAATATAAAATAACAATAGCTATAATCCATTATAGTATTAATCTGGTCCATTTGAGAATATTTAAAAAAAATTGCTTTAACAAAGCTTTGGAAAAAATGACTTTCCTGCTGCAAAGGTTTACTACTGAGCCCTGTCTCTCAGTAGACTCTGAAGAGGATGTTCCTCATGTGACCAAGAAGAGCAGCTGTGCTCACACTAGGCATATAGCCTGTGGCTATTCTGTTCCTGGGAAGATTTCTTATAGCAGTGGACAGAAAGCAATTGGCCTCCATGGTACTGTTTTGCACAACCGTGATAGTCATTAGGAACATTATGCCTTCCTGTGTAAAATCCACCAACGATGACTAAATTACTCCTAACTGTATGGACCATTGGTCTGTTCCAACATGACATGGCTCCCAAATTCATTAAAGTCTTTCAGGGAACAGCCTCTGCTTTATACTACTTTCTACTAATCTTGACTCTCATAGTAGAGCAGGGAGAGAGGCTCTGACCACATGTGGGAGTCTGCCCCAGATTCCCAGGACATGCACAAGAAGCAGAGACCATCCCTCAAAACAGCAACACTGCTGCTCACATTAAGAAATTGAGAGAGAAGGTCAAATCTATCAAGAGGGGCAGGGGCATTAGGCTAGACAGCATAATACTTTGTTGAACTCTATGTTCAATATTGCTTCTTCAGAGGGGCACTGGGTTCCATGGCCTAGAGATTGAAGCACTTTCTACTGAACTCCGATTGCCTTTCCCCAAAATAAAGGGCCCCTTAATACAGGTAGATTGTAGTAATATGCTTTCTGCCCTTCTCCATAAGATTTACACAAAAGGCTAGCTTTCAACTGATGCTGGTTTGGGTAGGGCAGGCTCAATGGTCACCCACCTCATCTGAAAACTGGCAGCCTTGAAAACCTTTCAACAAGCAATATGGATATGTGCAGTGTAATCTGTTTGGCTTGTGAGTGTGAGGCACTCACCTATTTATAGAAGCCAGTTCTTTCAGTAACAGAATGCTGTTTTTAATGTTGCTTTCCCAAAGGGCAGTGAGAGTACAGCATTAAATGGGGTAAATATTAAGAGACTGAGACCATTTGAGGCTTCATCAAAATCATGGTTTGAGTCACAGATCAGTGCAAACATGGATTTGACCTCAAAGCAAACATCCGTCAGCAGGGACATCAAGTTTTCCAAAGCCTTGTTAAAGCTTTTTTTCTCTGGGTGGCTGTATCTTGGGAACCTGTTGCTTAAAACATCTCCAAATTTGCACAATACAGCTTATAGCACACGCATTCTGACAAGGGCATCTTTCACCAGGAGAAAACTAAAAAGAATACTAAAGTTAGGTCAAAATTAAAATAGCACTGACCACTGAGCCATTCAAATAGTACTAAGAAAACAAAAAACAAGAAATAACTGGGGGAATAAAAGTGAGTACAAAGACAAAAAAATTTACTAAGCTTGAGCAGTTCTAAAGCATGCCCAGCTTCATAGTTTATGCATAAGCCTCATCTTTGCACATTTAATAAATCATCTTAAACTTGTACACATATTAGAATTCAACAAAGATTCATCATGTGCATTGCTCTTTAACCTAGTTGTAATTCAATATATTCTAGCCAGCCATACTTTGTACTCTTTACAGGACAGGCATCTGTTTGGGGGTTTTTTGGTAAAATAACTTTGTGTCCAGAACATTAATTAGCATACTCCTCTTTCACACAAAAGCACAAAACAAAAAAATCCAGTAGAATCTACATATTAACCTCTTATTGTCTTGAAAGCTGATTTTATTTAGCATTAAATATTTTAAGAATTTTTGAAAGTTGTTAAAATTAGGGTCTCCCTCGCCTCTTTCAGAAAGGCATCTCAGGAATAGGGACATGATAGGATGTTGCAGAAGGGTTGTCTCATTATGAGAAATTAAAATTTAATTCTATTTAATTCTAATTTATTTTCTGTTGTCAAAGGAATAAAACAAAAACTGATTTAATAAAAGCCAAATCAGGACTACCAGAGCTCAAGTGGTTCAGAGTTTCAGTAATACACTTACTTAAAGCAAGTAAATAGAGATGTTAATGCAGTTCTTGTTAAATTATGCAATTTATGAACCTATAATGGAGAAATGCATTTTTAACTTGTAAATAAAAGGGTAAAACCATTAACATGGTTAGTGTAACTTGTAAATAAAAGACAACCCCCCCCCCGCAAAAAAACCCCCCAAAAAACACCTCCTCACATGTCATAAGAACCTAATAATTGCTGTACTGGGTCAGACCAATATCTATCTAACCCAGTGTCCTGCCACTGACCATGACAAGAAGCAGATACTTTAGATTAGGAACCGGCAACCTTTCAGGAGCACTCAAGGCACTTTAACAGGTTGGTCTGAAGGTAAGCCACCAGTCCTGACATGGCCACCACTGCCACTACCCCCCACCAGCATTGACCTGACACCCGATCACTACTGATGTCCCCTGCTGCAGAATCAACATGAACATCCCAACTTCATGCGCCAGATCCAATCGCTTGGCTTGTAGCTGAAAAAGTCTACAGTTAGGACAGCTGTTAAACCCCCAACCACATTTCCACATCTCAAAATTCAACAACAAGATTAGCAAAAGCTATGTTCATCATTGAATTAGGCAAGTTCACCAAGGCCATATTAAATTAAGATTAGTAAAGCTGACCATATCAACTATTTGCACAAGCTTGCAAAGGCCTTGTTCAAACTTGGTGATGACTAAGGTTAAACTAAAATGTGTAAACCTGTTGCAAGGTAAGAAGAAGATGTAACATAACATGACCTTGTGTGGGAAGTGTAAAGGTAGAATTTTAGGCCAAAAAGTATAGGGAAATTATCATACAGCATACTTATGAATTAGATCAGATAAGTAAGCTAATAAAAGGTAATGAGACAGAAAGAGAAAGGGAGAGGGAAACAGAGACACAGAGAGACAGAAGCTGAAGGAGACACACAGACAGAGAAAGAAAGAGGGAAGGAGGGAGGGAGGGAGGACGGGAGGAAGACAGACAGACAGGGAAACTGACCAAGATCAACAGCAATGGACAGACAGACAGACAAAGACAAACAGAGAAGGAGACGGACACAGAAACACAGAAGGAGACAGAGACAGACAGAGATGGAGGGGCAGTGACAGATACAAAAGGAGACAGACACAGTGACAGTGACAGCAAAGACACAGAAGGAGATGGCCACAGAGAGAGAGGGAGGGAGAGAGCCACAGCCATGGCCACAGAAGGAGTATGACACAGAGACTGACAGTAATCGCAAGATAGGGAGACAGACAGACAGCGATGGCAATGAATGCAGGAGGAGACAGCAAGAGCGAGACGGGGAAACAGCGATGGTGATGGATGCAGGAGGAGACAGCAAGAGCGAGATGAGGAGACAGCGATGGCGATGGATGCAGGAGAAGACAGCAAGAGCGAGATGGGGAGACAGTGAGAGTGAGACAAAACAGTGAAAGACAGAGAAGTAGAGAAGCAACAGATGAAGGAGACAAACAGCAACAGAGATGAAAAGATGGCAGCAGAGAGAAAGACACAGAGATGGTGAGGGACACAGAAGAAGACAGAAACAGACAGTGATATTGTGATAGGGAGACAGTGACAGCGAGGGACACAGGAGACAAACAGTGACAGACAGTGACAGAGATAGGGAGACACAGAGGGAGACAGATGGTGATGGATGCAGGAAGAGATAGCAAGAGAGACGGGGAGATAGACACAGATGGAGACAAAACAATCGCTGAGCCAAGGGGTGCGGGGGAGGGTCCCCCACATGCTCGGTGGCGGACCCAGAAGTGGACCAAAAGTACTTGCGGTCCACTTCTGGGTCCGCCGCTGAGCACACGGGGAGCCCCCCTGCACTCCTGTGGGATGCTCCATCCGCCCCAGCATCTCAGTGTGCAGGAGCCATGCCTGGTACCTCAAGCAATGTAGAAAAAACATTTAAAGCTGTGCCTATAGCCAAATCACTGATTCTCTGAATCAGAATTGAAGCTTCAGATTTGGATTTGGCTGAATTGAATCGGGACAGTGATCCAAATCAATAAATCGAATCACTGTCCCCCGAATCAGGCCGAATCCAAATCTGAATCGAATACAGCCCGCTTCTCACACCCCTAACTGTTAGTCAACAGATCATTAAAATATCAAAGGGGGTTGAGGTTTGGGGGGTGTTGTTTCCTGTGGTTTCTTCATTAGCATCAATCATTCTGGTACAGTTAGGATGAATCATTTTGTGCTGGGACTAATATAGTTTCATAGCAATTTTGCAAGGTTCCTAATAAATGTCTGGGCCTTGCAAAAACCACAGCAAATATTTCCTTGTGGAAAGGATATTTGCTTTTCCTTTGAATCCTCATTTGAATCATATAAATGCATTTCATCATTGTGTTCTCAAATTTAATCCATTCATAGTTAGGTTTCCAGTTGATAAATCTGTAGATCAGTGAATCTCAGCCCAGGGTGATAAAGTACCCTGGGGTGCTGCAAGATGCTTTAAAGGATGTTGCCGGCAGCCTGAAGAGATAAGCAGGGTGTGGGAACATAAGCAGATAAGGGCAGGCTCAGGCTCTCCCTGCCTGGCTGCTTCCCTGTCCCCCCTGCCCAGCCTCTCTGCAAGGAGGTAAGCACTGTAATAAATACATTTGTTTTTGAAATGGGGTTAGGCTTAATTCACAGAAGTTATGAAGGGGTTTCTTGAGTCTAATGAGGGGTGCCTTGAATCTAAAAAGCTTGAGAACACTGCTGTAGATGACGTATTCATTTTAATTAATTGAATTAACCATCATCCTAGATATTTTGAGGAATTATATTACATCGATATTACCTCAAAGGAAATATTTAAGGAGTAAGGTGCCAAGTATATTAACAAACTTTTATTATTTCTCTTCAAAGTAAGAGTGTCAAACTCATCCATTCCCACCTCATGGACTGGAGCTGGAGTGTGGGACTCCTTCTGGGTCCAATCCAGATGACAAGGAGACTTGTGGGATGGATTCTCACCCATCTCCAGTATCAGGGTGAGTGTCATTGTGCTGGCTCAGGAAGCTTCAAGGATTAAAATAGCTGTCACTCACTTGCCTTCTCCCCCCTTTCCCACCCAGATAACCTCCCTCCTCCAAGAACCCTTCGAGAGCCTCACAGGCTGGATGACCCCGCTCTGTGGGCTGTATCTTTGACACCCCTTCTTTAAACTAAAACTTTCAACAACTAGTTTAATCAGTTCTCTCTTTCAGCAGTGCTAAATTAAATTCAGTCCAAGGACTTCATCTCAGGTCTGCCAGCAACCAGTCAGCAGCCTGGCAAGTGTCTAGCAGAACACTTTACCAAGGCAGTGACAACTGGTAAAAGCTCCGATTCACACTTTTCTCTAAAAAGGTTCAATAAATACTGTTCAATATTCTCCCTTACATTCCTCAGCGCTGTATAGTATTGGACAGATGTGCAAGTTGTGAGTAATATGTCTCCAAAGACCATTCCTAGCTCTTTTAAATTTCCATCTGAGACTATCTTAAGTCAGATTTGATGAAAAGGAAATTTCTTTAAAAAAAATGCTAATTACAGCATCTAGTGTCATGTCTACATAGTGCTTATTCAAGGAATTAATACTTGTGCAATACTTTTTAACAATGCCTTCCCGTTAAAATTCTCAGTTTAGTCATTCTGTTATTAAAGATAAATCATGAAAGGCAGTAGGATCTGTTCCACCTTTTTTTTATTTAATCTGGAAATAACATTTTGCCTGTGGGAATGGTGCCAGACAGACAATCTTAGAACTGATGTAGCCGATGTTACAATGCTTCCAGGTACCCTATGCTTTTCAACTAACATAATTCCTTTTTGACCTGGAGGCAGTCCTTTTATGTGTTGCCTATACAGGCCAAGGTCTACAGCAGGGTTTGGTAACCCATGGCCTCCTGCACAAGGGATTGTATCTGGCTCTCAGTGGCATTTAGCAGCACATGGTGGTGGGGGTGGGGGGGGGAATTGTTGGCACATGGCAACATTCAGTGGTAGAGAAGGAAAATCAGCAGCAGGGAGAATTGGTGGCAATGGCAACGATGGCCCACCTGTGAGCCAAGCCATGTTAATTCAGCCTACTATTACAAAAAGGTTGCTGACCTTCCAGGCCAGCGCCTGGACAATCTGCATACAAAGATTATATCCAGGTCTGAAGACAGAAGGCATATACTTATGCCTCAAAGGGACAATATTTATCTCCATAGGTGATGCATGGGGGGGGCACAGGGAGCCATATGCCCCCCCCAAAATTGACCGTCACCACCGTCTGCATCACCGCCCGCTGGTGGTTGCCACTCGCCCCACCTCCCCCCTTGCTGCCAACAATGCTGTGGCTGCCTGCAAGTGGTCCCCACTCTGCCCATCCTCACCACCAACATCACCATTACAGGACTCATAGTAGAGATCGTGTCTTTTATTAGACCAACAAGATTTTTGCAAAAAATGTTCTTTAATTGTAAAATACCACTCCCAACCACCGAACACCAGGCATTGGAGAAAAGACTGTAAAAGTTCTCCTGGGTAGAAAGGAAAGTTCATATTTCATAGGATTTCACAAAGGAGTCAATAGATGATTTTTATAAATGAAATCTTCGTATTTTAGCCATTTTTAAAAAAATGAAATATTCATATTTTCCCAAGCGGGAAGCAACTGTGACCACCTGAAACCCAAGATCTTGCTATTGCCTTT